GGGTGGTGGTGGGATTGGTGGTGGGATTGGTGGAGGGATTGGTGGTGGGATGGGTGCTGGGATTGGTGGTGGGATTGGTGGTGGGTGGTGGTGGGATTGGTGGAGGGATTGGTGCTGGAATTGGTGGTGGGTGGTGGTGGGATTGGTGGTGGGATGGGTGCTGGGATTGGTGGTGGGATTGGTGGTGGGTGGTGGTGGGATTGGTGGAAGGATTGGTGGTGGGTAGCGTTGGGACTGGTGGTGGGATTGGTGGTGGGATTGGTGGTGGGTGGTGGTGGGATTGGTGGTGGAATTGGTGTCGGGATTGGTGTCAGGATGGGTGGTGGGTTGTGTGGTGGGATGGGTGGTGGGATTGGTGGTGGGTGGTGGGTTGGAGGAGTGGTGTATTGTGTTTGTTTCTCTTTCTGTGGGAGAATACCCACCCAGGGCCATCAGTCCTGTACAGAGACCACACTCTGTTATGATGGTCAGACTGGTCAGTGCTTGGACTCTGCTAGTTAAATGTTGTGAATACCATCCCTGCTTTAACACGTCTCTATTAATAAAGTCACATGACAGTGAAGCAGCTGATCACAGACCCTTCAAAATGAAAAGTCAAGGTAAGACTCTGGATGAGATGCATCCAACACTTACCCATCAAAGCAGTGGGCAGCAGTGAGGACCCACTGGTGTCCTATGAGTGACCCTCCACACAGGTGCCTCTGAGCCATCAGCTTCACCTGCAGGCTCACCTGCCAGGGCCACTCTCCCCAAGAAGAGTTTGTTCCTCCAACAATGCGTGAGCTTGTTTTTGTTGTGCAGACTGAAACAAGAGTGTTGACGCTAATGGTTGAAATTAGAAGTGAATCAAAGTCCCTTCTAACCAAGGAGAACAAGACATATAATTCCTTAAGACTAAGCACACTATCAACATGACAGACATCCCTTACAGTTCCACGAAAACATGAGGTTACTCACCAGAGCTGTCCCCAGTGTTACACAATCTCAAAGAGTAACCAGAGCTCCCTTGTGTCCCATATGTAATCCTAGTTGGAGAACCATCCGAAGATAATCTTAAGAAACACTTACACCTAGATGAAATGAACAGTAGAAAGAGTAAGCCTTCACTGGGGGAAAAAGAATATGAAATGATCATGAAAAATAAAATGTCCCTTACTTCTCCTCCTTACAGTCTTCTGGGAGTAAAGAATAAGTGAAAAACTGACAGCGAATCATCTTTGTACAAGTCTCTTGGCAAACATTCACTCCTTTAACGAAAGTCACATTCAATTCTTCTCCTCCAAAGTCAACTCCCGGGTAAATTTTAGAATGGCAGGGTTCTGTGTCAATTACAAACACGAAAAGATACCAAATGAGAAAAGCAATGAACGACATTTACACAAGTTTCTGTTACCTTGTGGATTGTTTCAACACTGTTGCTGTTAAGTCATGAAATATGTTACGTTTTATGTAATATTATTATTGAATCACATTACCAGGTAAAGTTCTTTTGCAGGTTAAAAGGCTGTATCCAGATGTGGTGTTTTCTTGAGGAGTAGAGGAACTTGGTGTGCCACTTTCAGATGTTTTAAGAAAACAAACATTTCTATTTTTTTAAAAAAAGCAAGAGAGAAAGAAAGAAGTTTGCATTAAAGGCATTAGGCAAATACAAAAGCAGCTCACACCCAAAAAGGAAGTTGGCAAATTTTATTCTTTTGGGAAACTCTCTTCCAAGTAAATCCGACTACAGGACTCTAATAAATTGCAGAGATTAAATGTAAATCAAACCACATCTCCCTCTGGAGAAAACTAATAGGCACAGACAACCTGAAGAGAGGACAGTGACGAAGTTCCACCTTCTAACCGGAAAAACAAACAAACAAAATAATCAAAGAAGAAATTCTGGGAGTTTATGCTGCCGATGATATTCCGTAACTAGGCACCCTTCTCTTAGCTCCATGCTGTGTGTAGAAGAGGGTGGGTTATCTGAGATAAAGAGAGTGGGACAGAGCCTTGATCAGAATAAACAGAGCTCTAGTTTCTGAAACAAAGGGAAGAGGCAACAAGCTTAAGGGATATTCTGCCAGGGAGTGGCTTTTACTCCAAGCTAATACAAAACGTGAAGATCGTGTTTTGAATCTTCATTCAAAGGCGTCAGATCCTTCTTTGTTCTCATGGCTATTGCTTCCTGGATTCAAAGGTAACATTTTTGTTTTTTTTGAGACGGAGTCTCGCTCTGTCGCCCAGGCTGGAGTGAGCGGCGCCATCTTGGCTCCCTGCAAGCTCCGCCCCCCGGGTTCCCGCCATTCTCCTGCCTCAGCCTCCGGAGTAGCTGGGACCACAGGCGTCGCCACCTCGCCCGGCTAGTTTTTTGTATTTTTGGTAGAGACGGGGTTTCACCGTGTTAGCCAGGATGGTCTCGATCTCCTGACCTCGTGTTCCGCCCGCCTCGGCCTCCCAAAGTGCTGGGATTCCAGGCGGGAGCCACCGCGCCCGTCCGGTAACCTGTGTTTTAAAGTAAGAGAAGACAGGCAGAGAAGTCTGCTAATCTCTTAACTAATCTGCACCTGGCAGAAAAGTACCTACTTAAACTGCAAGTCCAAGTGTTTTGAGGGAAATGAAGGAAACTTTTAAAAACTCAGACTCTAAAATAAAATTGATGAAAGTACAGCAGCAAGTGCCAGCCATGCATACTGGCCTTTGTGACTCGATCTTCCATGCATTCGTATAGAACGTAAAGAAGAGGCAGCTGGGATGATAGGTGCAGATGGTTCGACACACAAAAGCATCTGGGGCGAGAACTCTGGCAACATCCACATCCGAGAAGGCAAGATGCTGGAAGATGTTCATGTGACAACCTGTGAACTCAGAGAGAGATGTTCCTTAGGAAACCACACGATGCTAAATTCGCTTGTATTTTGTCATCGTAATTAAGGAATTATGACTATTTATATTATTCATGGTACTAAACATCCTAAGTGACAAAACGTCCTTTAAAATACCTCCAAACTGTTTGTCATTTAGAGGAAGGCAAAACTGGTCCAACTCTAAGGGGCAAACTCCTATGTCAGAGAAATAAAAGCTGTGCTCCCAGCTCCAGTCACCACCATTGCCAAATGTTTGCATTACTCAGCATGTGCTTACGTTTTCCTTCTATTACTCTGCCTCTGAGGCCTTTGGGGGTAAGGGTTTTTTGTTGTTGTATTTTCCTGAATATTATAAAAAATTATTTAATAAGAAGTGATTAACAAAAATGCCTTGTGCCCATTAAAATTAGAATGGGAGACAATCTACTTTTATTAACATTACATTAATACGATCTTATATCTTAGTTTTATTTTAGCTGTGTTCCTATCGTTTATGTAGTTTACTAAATTTGATAACACATAATTCTATTGATACTCATTGGTCTACAGATTCAATGCACTCTCTGTCAAAATCCTGCTGCCTTCTGGTTGCAGAAATTGACAACCAACCTACAATTCATATGGAAATGCAAAAGATCCGGAATAACCAAATTAATCTTGAAAAAGAACAAAATAAAAGCACTCAGACTGTCTGAGTTCAAAACTTACTACGAAGTTATGGTAATCAAGACTGTGTGTAACTGGCATTAGGACAGACATACAGGTCAATGGGATAGAACTGATGGTCTAAAAATAAACTCTTACATTTATAGAAAATTGATTTTGAAAAGGGTTTCAAGACAATGGAATAACTGAATATCCACATACAAGAATTAAGTTGGATTCCTACTTTACACCATATACAAAATTTAATTTAAAATGCATCAAATGCCTAAATGTAAGAGCTAAAACTACAAACCTCTAAGAACAAATCATACGCAAAAATCTTCATAACCATGAATTAGGTTTTGGCATTTTAGGTAAAGCACATGCAAGAATAAAGCCAGACTGTATTTCATCAAGTTTAAAAACTTTTGCGCTTCAGAGAACACCATCACTAAAGTGAAAAGATGACCTGCAGATGCACAGAAAATTTGCCAATAATATATGTTACAAGAGTGTAGTATCCAGAGTATATAAAGAGTTCATACAACTCAACAATGAAAACAAAATAACCCAATTATTTTTAATGGCTAAAGGATTTAAACAGAGATTTCCCCAAAGAATTTATTCAAATTGATAATAAGCATATGAAAAGATACACAACATTATTAGTCATTAGGGAAATACATATCAAAACCACAGTGAGACACCACTTCACACTGCCTAGAAAGGCAATAATAAAAAAGACAATAACAAGTGTTGTTAAGGTTGTAGAGAGATTGAAGCACTCAGTTGTTGCTGGTAAGAATGTAAAATTGTGTAGCTGCTCTCAAAAACAGTTTGACACTTCATCAAAAAGTTAAACATGGAGTTACTGTATGATCCAACAATTTTAATCCTAAGTATATACATAAGAGAATTTAAAATGTATGCCTACACAAAAACTGCTGTCCATTGCAGCATTATTCATAAGAGGCAAAAAAAAAAAAAAAATCCAGAAACAACTCAAATGTTCATCAAACTAAGTATATAAACAAAATATGGTTTATTCATATAATAGAATACTATTTAGTCCTAAATAGGAACAAAGTACCGATATATGCTAGAATATGAATGAGCCTTGAAAACACTCCAGATGAAAAAAGCTAGATGCAAAATGTGCTGCATTGCATGATTCCATTTATGTAAAATGTCCCGAAGAGTCAAGTCCACACACATAGAAAGTAGATTAGTGGTTGCCAGGGGATTGGAGGAGTAGGCAATGGAGAAAGACTGCCAATGGATACAGTCTTTCTTCAGTGGTAATAAAAATGTTCTGGAACTAGATAGTGATGATTCTTGTGAAATCAGGTGGATATACTAAAAACCACTGAGTTGTACACTTTCAAAGCGTTAATTTTATGTTATCTAAATTATACATCAAAAATTTTAAATCTACTATGAAAAAATAATATATGCTATATTAAAATACCAAACTTGATAGAGGGAATTCATGTAAAACAGACACATTATTTATATACATAAGAATTAAATTTTCTTGATATTTTCAGCAGCTTCATAGTGGATTCTCAAACATTCTTCAAGTCTCCTTATAAAGTGCTATTAAACCCCATCTTTTCCAATGTGTATGTATGATTCTAAGAGCTTCACATTTATTCATGTTAAATGTCAGGTCTCTGGGCCCAAGCCTGCACGCATACATCCAGATGGCCTGAAGTAACTGAAGAATGACAAAAGAAGTGAAAATGGCCGGTTCCTGCCTTAACTGATGACATCACCTTATGAAATTCCTTCTCCTGGCTCAGAAGCTCACCCACTGAGCACCTTGTGACCCCCAACCCTGCCCATCAGAGAACAACCCCTTTGACTGTAATTTTCTATTACCCACCCAAATCCTATAAAACGGCCCACCCCTATCTCCCTTCACTGACTGTCTTTTCTGACTCAGCCCACCTGCACCCAGGTGATTAAAAAGCTTTATTGCTCACACAAAGCCTGTTTAGTGGTCTCTTCACACGGGTGCACATGACATTTGGTGCCGTGACACGGATTGGGGGACCTCCCTTGGGAGATCAATCCCCTGTCCTCCTGCTCTTTGCTCTGTGAGAAAGATCCACCTATGACCTCTGGTCCTCAGACCAACCAGCCCAAGGAACATCTCACCGATTTTAAATTGGGTAAACGGCCTCTTTTTACTCTCTTATCCAATCTCTCTCACTATCCCTCAACCTCTTTCTCCTTTTAATCTTGGCACCATCCTTCAATCTCTCCCTTCTCTTAATTTCAATTCATTTCATTTTTTGGTAGAGACAGAGGAGACGCGTTTTATCTGTGAACCCAAAACTCTGGCACCGGTCATGGACTCGGGAAGACAGTCTTCCCTTGGCATTTAATCACTACAGGGACACCTGCTTGTTTATGCGCCCATGTTTCAGAGGTGTCTGATCACCTTAGGGATGCCTGCCTTGATCCTTCACCCTTAGTGGCAAGCACCACTTTCCTGGGGGGCAAGCACCCTGACCCCTTCTCTCCGTGTCTCTACCCTCTCTTTTCTCTGGGCTTGCCTCATTCACTATAGGCAACTTTCCACCCTCCACTCCTCCTTCTTCTCCCTTAGCCTATGTTCTCAAGAACTTAAAACCTCTTCAACTCACACCTGACCTAAAACCGAAACACCTTATTTTCTTCTGCAATGCCGCTTAACCCCAATACAAACTTGACAATGGCTCCAAATAGCCAGAAAATGGCACTTTAGATTTTTCCATCCTACAAGATCTAGATAATTCTTGTTGTAAAATGGGCAAATGGTCTGAGCTGCCTGACGTCCAGGCATTCTTTTACACATCAGTCCCTCCCTAGTCTTTGTTCCCAATGCAACTCATCCCAAATCTTCCTTCTTTCCCTCCCGCCTGTCCCCTCAATCCCAACCCCAAGCGTTGCTGAGTCTTTCCAATCTTCCTTTTCTATGGACCCATCTGACCTCTCCCCTCCTCCCCAGGCTGCTCCTTGCCAGACTGAGCCAGGTCCCAATTCTCCTTCAGCCTCTGCTCCTCCACCCTATAATCCTTCTATCACCTCCCCTCCTCACACCCGGTCCGGCTTCACACCCAGCCCTCTCACCTGCCCAACAATTTCCTCCTAAAGAGGTGGCTGGAGCTAAAGGCATAGTCAAGATTAATGCTCCTTCTTCTTTATGTGACCTCTCCCAAATCAGTTAGTGTTTAGGCTCTTTTTCATCAAATATAAAAAGCCTAGCCCAGTTCATGGCTCATTTGGCAGCAACCTTGAGATGCTTTACAGCCCTAGACCCAGAAGGGCCAGAAAGCTGTCTTATTCTCAATATGCATTTTATCACCCAGTCAGCTCCTGACATTTTTAAAAAAACCACCAAAAATTAGATTCCAGCCCTCAAACCCCACAGCAGGACTTAATTAACCTTGCCTTCAAGGTGTACAATAATAGAGTAGAGGCAGACAAGTAGCAACATATTTCTGAGTTGCAATTCCTTGCCTCTGCTGTGAGACAAAACCCAGCCACATCTCCAGCACACAAAAACTTCAAAATGCCTAAGCTGCAGTGGCCAAGCATTCCTACAGGACCTCCTCCATTAGGATCTTGTTTCAAGTGCCAGAAATCTGGCCACTGGGTCAAGGAATGCCCACAGCCGAGGATTCCTCCTAAGCCATGTCCCATCTGTGTGGGACCCCAGTGGAAATTGGATTCTCCAACTCACCCAGCAGCCACTCCCAGAGCCCCTGGAACTCTGACCCAAGGCTCTCTGACTGACTCCTTCCCAGATCTTCTTGGCTTAGCAGCTGAAAACTGACGCTGCCTGATCGCCTCGGAAGCCTCCTGGACCTCGGATCACAGACGCCTTGGGCAACTCTTACAATGGAGGGTAAGTCCATCCCCTTCTTAATTAATACAGCGGCTACCCACTCCACATTACCTTCTTTGCAAGGGCCTGTTTCCCTTGCTCCCATAACTGTTGTGGGTATTGATGGCCAGGCTTCTAAACCTCTTAAAACTCCCCAACCCTGGTGCCAACTTGGACAACATTCTTTTATGCACTCCTTTTTAGTTATCCCCACCTACCCAGCTCCCTTATTAGGTTGAGGCATTTTAACTAAATTATCTGTCTCCCTGACTTTTCTAGGCCACAGCCACACCTCATTGCCACCCTTGTCCCCAAAGCCTCCTTCGCATCCTCCCCTTTTATGTCCCCACCTTCATCCACAAGTGTAGGTTACCTCTGCTCCCTCCTTGGTGACTGATCATGCACCCCTTACCATCCCATTAAAACCTAATCACCCTTACCCTGCCCAACGCCACTATTCCATCCCACAGCA